TTTTAAAAATTAAACAAAAAAAAATTAAAAATCAAATAAAACAAAAAGGGAAAGGAAGACAGTTTTTACTGCTTTTAGAAAAAAAGGAAATAAAAAATTAAGAAAAAAACCAAAAAATGTTAGATTTGAAGGATTCCTTTACTCCATTTTTTAAAAGTTGGAATAATAAAATGTACTCTGGTTTGAGTGAAGTTGGTTAATAAATAAAGATAGTAATCTTAAATTTTGGTCTGAGACTTGGAAGTGATCCCTCAGCCTCCTACACCTTCTCTTATCAATGTTGGACTATATAAATAGGCATCCCTGGTTTTATGTTTAGATGCAGTCTTGGTCCATGGCAGCTACATTAAGTTCAGTCTTGCCATAGGGAATTTTGCATGAACCCATACCATCTGCACATGAAGAATGTGTACTGCACATACAGAATCACCAGTACAGATGAGAAATTTAATAAAGCAAATCTGCATACAGCAAGGAACACCACAATCAATATAATCAAACAAATTTATTTCTTTATATAGTAAGCAATGTTAAGCTTCATCAATCACGCTTACACCACATTTCACACAGTTTATAAATATAAAAATTCATAAACATGTTGAGTGTCAATGTTCTTTTGATGCTGTTGACACTGATATACCTGTATTTAATACAGCACTTGTCAAAATCACATAAATAAAAGCAGCTTAGGGAAAGTTAAAAATTTCAATACAAGAAACAGATACTGTTTATAAAAGAAAAACACCGAGCAACTATATTTATTGTTGCTTAGTGTCTTGTGCATCTGAACTGTCGTATCTGCAAACACCTAGCAAGACAGTGATAAAGTGAAAAACGGTGTTTTTTTTTTTTTTGGGGGGGGGGGGGGGGTCACTCTACCTTGTAAGAGTACAGTCAGAGCCCTAAATTCACATGGGTTACATCCCCAAAGCACTTTCAAATCAGGAATTCATGAATACTGACTCAACTATATTACCAAAATTCTTAATTTTGGAGAATACACCTTAACTCTTTGACTGTTTCGGTCGTATATATACGTCTTACGAGGTACCGTGTTTGACATATATATACTCATAAATTCTAGCGGCTTCAAATCAAGCAGGAGAAAGCTGGTAGGCCCACATGTGAGAGAATGGGTCTGTGTGGTCAGTGTGCACCATATAAAAAATCCTGCAGCACGCAGTGCATAATGAGAAAAAAAAAAAACTCCGGCTGTTTTTTTTAATTAAAATGCAGACTTTGTGGTCTATTTTCGTATAGTATTTATGGTTGTATTCTCGTTTTCTTGGTCTCAGTTGATAGAATGGAAAACATATTATAGAAATAGAGGTGATTTTGATTGGTTTTACTATAAAAAGAACCTGGAAATGAAGCTCAAAGTAGGGGAAATGTTTGATTTTTGACAATGTTCAAAAGTAAACAAACGATGTCATTGTCCAATAAATGTCCAACTAGCCATTCTAATATGCAGTCATGAATGGGTTAACATTATTTGTACAATTATTACAGTATTGCAGTAGTCTGCATAACAGTAAATCTTCTATTTTTTGTTTGAATAAAAATTCAAAATAGAAAGCAAGAGTAATATCAGAGGGGCTTGGAGACGTGACAGATGAACAAAGAAAATGTTATTTTAGAGCCAGGAATGTCTGCATTGTTCATTCTGGACCTTATTTTGAAATTGTCATATTTTTTAATTTTTGTGAAATTGGCCAAATTGAAAATTTCTGACCACGTTATTCGGTAGTTGAAATCGGTAAATGGGTAGTTTCTTGTGCTCAATCGATAGAAAAAAAAGGAGTTCTAAAGAAATAGCTATGAGTTTGGTCGACTGGAACAATGGAATTAGCCGAAAATAGGGCTCAAAGTGGGCGAAATCGCTGATTTATAAATATCGCTGAGGTCGCTTAATTCGCAAGAGCGTAATTCCATCAGTTTTCCATCAAATTTAGTTTTTTTGGTGTCATTACAATTGAGAAAAGATTCTCTGTCATTTCATAAGATTTTTTTTTTTTTTTAAATTTTTGCGACACCAGGAGACACCTCAGGATTGGGGGCTGCGACAGTCAAGGGGTTAAATTAGAAATTTATTTTCTGAATTTGGGAGTACAGGGATTCTGAATACTACTGCAAAAGAATTCTGAGTGAGAGATATTACTACTTTAAATTTGTAATGTTTTCTTCTTTACCTTATCATTCTAAAATCATGCAATATGTTATATTAATACAACCACCATATTAATGCAATATTTGTTATTTCAGGTGCAACATAACAACCATTGCAAGATATGCACTCTCCAATGCACGAATTCTCTACTTTAAGATGCACAATGTAAAGGTACTACATACTGTACACTAGTGTTATCACAACAACACTAATGTGTATTAGTGTTATTACGATAACAATAATGTACACTAGTGTTATTATGATAACACTTTTGTTTGCTTACATAATCTGAGCATAAGAATATTGGAATACTGCAGTAGGCCTACAGTCAACCTATTTTTAAAGCAACCCAAAGTTGCTTCACCTTAGATACAACTCTATTATCAAATATCTATTTAAATCAAAATTTGTCCAGCTTGAATTGAGTATTTCCATTACTTTTTGACCATTTTCAAGATACTTCCCATCTTGAAACTGACCAAAATCATCTCCATTTCATATGATACCAAGAAAGAGCCAATAAAACTAACACCTTAAAGTTGCTATTTTAAACAATATACAGGGTCAGAGGTGCTTGTTTTTATCATGTACTGTAGGAAGCAGGAATTTTTTTATATAATGTGCACACTGCATGGACCCATTCTCTCATGTCTAGGCCAAAATTTACCACTTGCAGCACATTTGAGGGTGCTGTGCTTAAATTTATTTATTTTACAGCGAACAAGATGCTTCAGTGTCGAGGACACCCCATCCCCCCCAATTCTGATTGGCTAAATTCTGATAAAAAAGATAAACAGTACTTTGGCCTCCAAGACGCTGGATAAATTTTCAAAACTTTCTTTTAGAAAAAAAGTCTTCACTGTCATAAAATACTGTACTGTAAATAACACTGGTATCAATAACTTAGACATGTGTAAGAGACAGTAAAAGGGTTGATTCTTTCACAGGTGGAGAACATGGAAGAAAATGCTATACATCTTGATATCTATGAGGAGTGGTTAGTGGAATACTGCAGCCTTCCCAGGCTTGTCTCACACACCATCTGCTTACGTGCACAGATGGTGGTGGTTTTCTCTCATAATATAATGAAAAGATTAGAGAACAAATCCTTGGACATTATTTCCTCTAGTCAGGTATGTATAAGTATTGTAAAATTATGATAAACTCACTGTACTTTTAACTTTACAAAAAACAGAAACAAATTAGAGGTAAATACATAAATGATAATTCTTTCTTCTTTCAACGCACCAACCGTTTCCCACCGAGGCAGGGTGGCCCAAAAGGAAAAACGAAAGTTTCGCCTTTTAAATTTAGTAATATATACAGGAGAAGGGGTTACTAGCCCCTTGCTCCTGGCATTTTAGTCGCCTCTTAAGACACGCATGGCATACGGAGGAAGAATTCTGTTCCACTTCCCCATGGAGATAAATGATAATTACACAATAATAAAAACATTTCAAACTTTAGAACTCTTTGCTGATGACACAACTTATACCTTATCATGATTTGAGTTCCAGACTTTAAATACTTTAGTTAATAATGAACTATGGTAGACATTAGTAAATTAACTTACCTTAATACATAAAAAAAAGTAAATATACATACTACATAAAACTTTTGGGAATACATTATATCCACAATTAGTCATCCAAATTAACAAATCTGAATTGAAGGAAAAGGAAGAGGTAAGTTCCTAAGTTTTCTAGCAGACAGTAAACAAAAACTTAATGCTTATATATAAAATGCTGTAGGATTACTCTCCAAAATTCATTACATGTATCCAAAATCTATACTACTAACACACTACTTCTATATCTTATAACTATACTTCAACCATTCAATTTGTGCTTAGGGTTCTACCTCAGTTGTCCATCTCAAATCAATTATCACACAACAAAAGCAAGCTATTAGATTCACTACAAACTCAAATTTCCGGCAACATACTATGGCTGCATTCAAATCCTTAAACCTCCTAAATAAAAATGTCATATGTAATTACTGTATTAATCTTGGTTCCACCTCTTCAAAGCACTATACTGTAATGGTGATGGTGACCTAGGACACTCCCTGGAAAACCATAACCGAAAACACAGGCATCACACTTGAAACTAACACCACTCTGTTCCTTTTCTTAATTTAATCATTGCCTTCATATTTTATCAGTAAATTTTAATTTAATGTCTTACACTAAATACAGTACAGTACTCAATTCTCACTAAAATTTGTTCTGCAATATTAAGTAACAGTATATAAAACAATATTATATAACCTTACAGTGCTAGCCACGTCATTATGCCAGGTGAGCACCCGGGCATAATGCCGTGATGAAAATCTAAAGCCTACCATACAGGGGGGGGTCTTTTCTCGTCAGTTCATTATGCCGGGTAGCAGCCATTAGCATGATGTCATAGCCCACCACCACACTCCACAGTGACTGCAGTGCTCACGTGACTGCCATGGTGAGAGGAAGTGTTGCATTTTTGTCTCCCATCTGCCCCATCTTTTGTCTGGTGTTCCCTTTGGTTTTGGGGCTATACATGTTTGATTATGGGTAAAAGGAAGTCTTTAACACATGAAACTATAACTCAAATCACAGGGCTTCACAAAACTGGTCACCAGATGAAAGAAATAGTGGAGAATGTTGGTGTGTGAGAGTGGTCAGTGAGGAACTGGGTGCAGCGTTTCAAGGCTGGTGACGGTGTTGAGTTACCATCTGCCAAACCTTGGCCTGGCCCCTCGAAGAAGACATCTGTTCATACCTTAACTGTGTTAAAGAAGCAGTTATAGAGTACACCAAAGATAACTGCTAGAGAATTGAAAGAAAAGAACCTACATCTTCTCTCAGAGGTGTCTGTAAGAACTATTAACATACGTGTCAGAACTGGGCTACGTAGTCACCCCAGGTTAAGAAACTGATCCTCTCCAAGCCACAGAAGAATTGTAGGCTTGATTATGCAAAGAATATCTTCACTGGAATCCTCAACGGTGGTCTAAAGTACCTTGGGGTGATGAAGCTACCTCCACCACCCCCTGTAACTATGGGGACATGTGTACTGGCCCAGAGGTAGTGACCCGCTAGATCCACGCTACACCTGTGGGACCACCAAACGCCCAGACTCGCTCATGGTTTGGGGATATTTCAGTGCTTAAAGTGTTGGTGAACTTATTGTGCCTCCCAAAAACCAGTATATAAATCAGTATAATTACCTGGAATTATTATACACAAATAACCCGCACATAAAAGAGAGAAGCTTACGACGATGTTTTGGTCCGACTTGGACCATTTACAAAGTCACACAGTTTGACTTTGTAAATGGTCCAAGTCGGAACGAAACGTCGTCGTAAGCTTCTCTCTTTTATGTGTGGGTTATTTGTGTATCGTTCCAGTCACGGTATTGTGCCTTTTTTTGTTATTTCTGGAATTATTGTGTGACAATTTACCTACGGTGTTTGACAAGTGTGGGGGCAAAGGTTTTTATGCAGGACGGTGCACTGTGTCATACCGCCAAATCTATAGCTCACTGGCTTAAGGACTGTGAAATGAGGTCCTTTAATGACTGGACAGGCAATTCCCCAGACCTAAACCCTATTAAGAACCTCTGGTCAATAGTGAAACCAAGTTTACTGGGAAAGGATATCAGTTCCATCCCGTGGCTGCTCTACATGAGGCATGGAATAATATACCTCCCCAAACCCTCAAGAATTTGTGTGAGAGTCTTCCTATATGGCTGAGGGATGTGATTAAGTGTAAAGAAGCAGCACCAAGAATTAAAACCTCACTAAGTGTGCAAATATATATATATTATAATCTTTCATGATATGTGCTAGTGTTTTGGTACATGTGTGGGGGAGGGGCGGAATAATGCTGTGACTAGCACTGTATATATAACGTCCAATTTATTTTATGTTATATTAGTATTAATCTTGGCTTTGTAACTTTCTTACATATGGGCCTTCAGTTTATTGTATGTCCTGTGCAGTAATACCGAAAATTTAGAGCAGTAGTTGCATTTGTATTGGACCAACATTTGTATTAACCTTCACAAACGTTATAGCAAACTGTTTTACCGAAACTTCAAACAAATTGCTTGCAAAAATTCCAGTAGTAGTTGCAAGTTTATTTTAAGTCTACCCAAAGTGTTCTGCATAACCAGAGGCTTTTTTTGTTAATAATGTCACTTTTCTGAAGCAAGTGTAAAACATACTTTTTTAGAGTAAAGAAGGCATCTTCAACATGAGACGTGGTAGAAATCATGCCCGTCTCCAACTTCAACAGCTCATTATTTATACTTTTTTAGAAATAAAATTTATCATTTATCAAAACTGTGGCACATCTTACCAGATTTATATATATATAAAAAATGTAGTATAGTTAATGAATTTTAACACCTTTACACATCTCCATATCCTATTAATATTTAAAATTCCTATAAGAAAGCTGTAAATGGTAATGATAAAATAAATGTCTGTCTTGGTTGGGGACAGCTGTGTAAAGTATGGAGGCAATGAGCCTGAGAATGAACAAGGTACATTAGATACTCTCCAAATAAATATCCTCTTATTCAAACACACTTCTCCTTAGCATTGTTTTTCATGGGTAATACAAACTACTTTAAATGAATATCTACCTAACTGAATATATCTTTTACTTTGATGTGTTTCATATCTCAGTATCTATTTTTAATTTCTTCAATAATTTCAAATTCACTTTTGTAAGTCATATCTTGAGAAGTTTAGAAATTCAGCACAATAATAGTTATTCTATTTGATTTATTCATCCACAATAAATGTGGTGAAAAACTCATCCTGAAATCTCTTGAACAACATTTACTGTACATATTCACTTGCTTTCTAGTTATCATAGTTATAAATTTATATGAGAGTTCTGTAAAATTCAAAAGCACTAACAATGTATTATTTCCACAGGTGTTGTTTGAGTATAACTATGTGATGTACCTGGGTGCAGATGCACTAGCTGCAATAAAGCCATATCCCAATGCACGGGGAGCAAATATTGTCTTCCTTAACAACACAGTGGAAAAAGCAGTGAACAGATCTCTTGTGATCAGTAGAAATTATCCAAGTTATGAGCGTAAAATACTCGACAATAGATTTAACATTCTGTGTGAGTGCAATATCCATGACACTTTCAAACAGCTGCTGGGCATTTCTGAGAAGAGTGACTACAATGACCAATTACACAACAAGTAGTGATTGAAAAGTCTCGCTGTCAAAGAAAATCAGGTTTAGCATTGTATAAAAATGTCAGAGTTTATTACAGTGAAGAATGTACATCAACATCACTTCCTTTAATCATATCAGCAACAAGTGTCGTTGTAGTTATAATCATCGCCATTATCGTGTGTATAGTGTGTATTCGTCGTGCTGAAAAAAGCAAAGGAAGAAGCAAATTACTTGGGTGAATGCTGTTATTCTCAAAGCTTTTCAACTCTACACTCAAATGCAGGTCCACTCTCTCCATTACATGGTCATCATTGTTTCTCCTTTGAAAACGGTAATAGTCTTCAACCCTGGGTGGTAGCAGTGCCTGAAGTTAAGACATATCAAGAGACTGAGGTGGATGTGCACTATGAACATACAGAACCCATCAATGTCAATATAAGAGGCTCTTATCCTGAGCCAACTTCACCTATTGATTTCCAACGTAGGGTTCATACACGTGCTTCATGTCCTTTTAACTAGAAATGAATATGTGTAAACTAGTAAAGTTTCCTATAAATGATTAGAACTGTATATACATAAACAAAGATAGTTTCCTTAATTTACTGGAAATGAAAATACAGCATGTAAACTAGTTTAATTTCCTTCAAATAAATACAATTAGAATTGGATATATATAAACTAGCAAGGTTTCCTTCTGATTACAAGCTAACCAAAACTATATCTTCAATTATGTCTATTAATTTTTTGGTGTTCTTTAATAACCATGTGTTTATTGAAACAATACTCAAAATGTTTGTCCACTAATTTTGGCAAGGAAATTAATTTTATTAATAATGTATTGCAAATTCATGTGTACTCTTCTCAAAAACAAGATTACTATACAATACACAGCATGTATATATGTATATGTGTGTGTGCATGTGCTTGCATGTGTGTGCATGAGTGCACAGGCACACACCCCATATATATAATTTTTTTAATATACCAGCTGTCTTCCACTATAATTTACTTGTACAGTATATTTGTTATAGTACTGGTTTGTACTAAATACAAACATTAAGCAAATTACATTCTCTAGAAAACTGATGAAATATTATACCCCAGGTATTTTAGTTTTTCTCTGAGCTTCAGTCAGTCACTTGGGAATGGTTATTTAATCTTTCTCTCTGTTACTATTAATCGTATGGTTAGTTTGATACAGTAAAAATATACAGTGGAACCTTGGCTTACGAACACCCCACCATGCGAATTTTTCAGGATACAAATCGTCGTTTGGTTGATTTTTTGCTTCTGGATACGAATGAAACTTCAGGATGTGAACTTCCCCATCAAGGGAGGTTTCTTAAATATATAAATAAATAAATAAATAAATAAATAAAATATTTCTTTCTTTGCCAAGGTTACAATGTGTTTACATATAATATGATTGGAGCAAAGAAAGCCTCTATCATGCTGAGGCATTTCAGGCAGATTTAACCTAATACTAATAGACTACTTAAGTCTAGACAGGTGAAAAGTGTACTAGTAGTGGTTACCAATGTTTTGCTGATGGTGGCACCAACTACTGACTGCCTTTTGAAGTTTCTCCTTACTGTTATTTATTATATGTATTTTATTTTTATTACTGTTACTGTCATAATAATGATTATTATTATTATTATTATTATTATTATTATTAGTAGTAGTAGTAGTAGTAGTAGTACATACATGGTGATGGGTTCTTGATCAAGGGAATTGGATCTGTGCTCCAGGTCCCTAAATTAATAATAATAATGATAATTATTATAATAATATGTATATACTAATAATAATAATACATAATAATAATTATGTATAATAAATAATAACAATAATACCATGTACGTACTGCGTATAATTTAGTTTGACAACACCATGACAATGCTCACCAGTGCACATGTGCTTGCCAAGCTACCCTCGCAGTCCAAGGAATTCTAGTGATTTCCTTATGTTTCGTGCAGTTAATTTGCCAGATTTTTTTCTTCTAACCATGGGTTCTAAGAAAGTTAGTACAAAGGACAGTGCCGAGAAGAAAAAGAGGATGATTTGCATGGAATTAAAGCAAGACATCACTGATGAGCACAGACCAGGTACGTAGTGTAATGAGAAAAACATAAAAATTGCACATAGCGACCACCCTTGCGACCACAATCCTCCTCCCTCTGCCGTCCATGTAATGACATGTATTTTATTCATTCTAGAGTATATATCAGGTTTCTATGTTATTTATATTGTTTATTATGTCATATTAGACGAATTGTGATAAATAAGCCGTAGAGTTGATATTAGGGTTATTTTGTCATGCTCTTGAGAGCAGGAATTCAGCTGTAACAAATTAATTGCATTTCAATTAATTTAAATGAGGAAAATTGACCCAGCATACAAACAAATCAGGGTACGAACAAGTCCACAGAATGGATTAAATTCGTAAGCTGAGGTTTCACTGTACTTGGAAGTGATCTGTCCCAATGGATGGTTGCATCATGTGGAAATGTACGTTGATTATGAAATATTTTTTGAAAATATATATACAGTATACATAAACCAATTTAAAGCTACCACTCTGTATGGAATTAAATTTTATATTAAACCTTTAAACTGTCACTGGAAATTACCTCATCAACCTCTCTATGGTCAGGATTTTGCTTTAGAAACATTTCTCATACTGTATTGCAAGTTACACCATTAAAAAAAAGTAAAAAAATTAAGAACTTATAGCTTCTCTATAGAGTTTTGAATATTTTTTAACTGAAAACTTATTTCTGAGGCAGAGACTTCGCACAGCACTGAAGTATTTAAAATTTCTATCTTGCAAGGTCTGAGGATATTTGTTCATTTTTCATTATTTTTTTTTAACACATCAGTCATCTTCCACTGAGGAAATGTGACAAAAAAAGTCACACACTCACCATCATGCTTTCAATAACTGTCTTGCCAGAAGTGAGTAGACACCACATTTTAAATGACCCTCTGAACTACAATATCCCCACCTGTTCCCCTTCAGGGTGCAGATACTGTACTTCCCACGTCCAGAACTTGGGCTCAGCTAATGAGTTTTCTTGAATCTCTTCATGTTACCTTGCTCACATTCCAACAGTACATCAAGCCACAAAAATCACTTGTCTCCAATGCGATCTAACACACACACGTCTGCTGAATACTCAAACCCCTAGCATTCAAATCCTCTTTAAGCTCCTCCATACAACCCTTCTTGGAATGACTAAATATCTGCTTTAAAACCTCTTTACTGAATTTTGTAACCCACCACCTATTCCATTCATTGGCAACATCTGCTACATTGCTTCCTTCTCTACCTATCTTATGTCTTCTCTAAATCCATATATGCAACAAATAGCTCCTTACTTATATTTAAGTATTCTCGCTTACATGCTCCAATTTAAACATTTAGCCTACACATCCCCTACCCATCCTAAATCATCCTTATTCTTCTGCAATCTTATGGTCTGTCTCACCCCTCACTAGTTCATCAGTAATTCCAACACTTTACCTGGTATACTCAAGTTAGTTTCCCTAGAATTCTTGGACTCTGTATTTTATCCTTTTTCTTATAAAAAGGAACTATGCATACACTCTACCAACCTTTGTGTACCTTCCTTTTCTTTCATGCAAAAACTAAACAAATACACCACCTACTTCATTATTGGAAATATGAACACATTTGCAGTATAATGTGATCCTTTATTGACAATGTTTTGCCCACACAGTGGGCTTTTTCAGGTCACAAACAGATCTACCTGGGGTGGAAGGTACGCGAGTATTTATAGTCAGGTTCAGAATGTTGAGGTCAGGTGGAGAATACTGCATCTGATGATGTACCGAGTGGGGTTATAGAGTCTAAAATCTTGGGTAGCTTGGAAAGGAGATTGGATAAGTTTGTGAGCAGACCTTCTGCAGTGTTCTTCCATTCCTATACTCTTATGTGGGATAGCGATGAAGAAGTTTCTTGGCAAGAGGTTCAGCAATGTTATAGAAGCCATTATTCTGGTTGAAGTTGTCGGATATAGAGATAAGTGATGATTCCAGGATTCTCGGTTTAAAGAGTGGTCTTCTGTGGCGATAAGTCTTGAGTTTCTGTAGTTTATTAAATGGTTGTGTGAATTACGGTGTTGTACACAGGCATTCCTTGTATCGTCAGACCTGCTTGCGTATTGGTGTTCTGAAATACATGTTTGGAGGTCCCTTGATGTTTCGCCCACGTATAATTTGCTGCAGTCATTACAAGGGATTATGTATACCCTGCAGAGGATGGAAGCCTGTCCTGTCTATTACTGGTAATGTCCTTGATGGTCGTGGTTGTGGAGGTAGATACTTGGAAAAGATGTTGGAAACGTGTTTGGCAATGGAGTTGGTGGGAAGGACTATGTATCCCTTCTCGGCAGTGTCTTCTCTGGGTGTGTTGAAGATGTTTAATGCTCGTTGTCTGCAGTCTCTGATGAAGTGACGAGGATAGTGGAGTTTAGAAAATACTTGTTCAATTATGGTGCATTCTTCCTCAAGAAACTCATTGCTGCAGATTCTGAGTGCACGCAGGAAGAAGCCTATAATTACACCATGTTTAGTTTTGGTGTTGTGGTGAGAGTAGAAATGGAGAAGATCGTTTTGGTTGGTGGGTTTTCGATAGACTTTAAAACAAAGTTCATGGTCAGCTTTGCAGAGAAGAACATCAAGGAAAGGAAGAGTGTTGTCGACTTCTTCTTCAAGTGTGAACTGGATTGAGGGCTCGACCTGGTTGAGTATTGTCTTGGAGAGTTTGAACATTGAAGAGTCTAGGAGTTATGAGGAGAATGTCGTCAACAGATGACATGCCGTCAACAGGTGATAGACGAAGGAATAATGGTGGAGAAACACTCGGCTTCTAGATGTTCCATGTATAGGTTCGCCAGGACCGCACTGAGTGGCAAACCATGGATAGTCCAAAAGTCTGCTGAAAGAGGTGATTTTCAAAAGAGAAACACGTAAAGCCAACACATAATTCAACAAGGTCGATGAAATAGCTGGCTGGAATAGGAAGATCAAGTGAATCGTCAATTTTCCTGTGCAAGAGATCGATGGCTTGTGTAGTAGGTTACTTTGGTGAATAGGGAAGTTACGTCAAGGCTGGAAAGTTTCTTGTTCCTGATGTTGATGTTGCGAATGCGATTGAGAAGATCACCCGAGTGTTTGAGATGTGCTGGACTGATAGTGCCAAGAGTTTAGAGAGGTGTTTTGTGAGAATTCCTGAGAGTTGGTGGGGAGTACTCCCTATTCCGAGGATATGGGCCTCAGTGGGATACCAGGCTTGTGAGTTTTTGGCAGGCCGTACATTCTGGCAGGTCTAGGGTTGCTGGGTGTGGTGTGAAGAAGTTTCTTCCCTTGTTCCGAGTCCCTCAGAATGCGGCGAGTCCTTTGAAGAAAAGTTTTAGTAAGGTTGTCCACTTGGTTAGTTGTGAGAGGTTTGTGGGTATCTGGGTCATTAAGTAGATTGAGCACTTTGTTCCTGTAATCATCAGTGTTCATGATAACACCACCACCTCCTTTATCAGCGGTGGGTGACCCTGATGGTCGTGTCTTCTGCTAAACCTTTAAGTGCATTGATGTAATGTCGAGGTATGACTGGGGGCTGCCGTGTTGAGATGGTTGCCGAGATGATGCCTTGAAGATAACCTTTTTGGAAGTCGGAGTCATTGTGTCTGTAGTTTTTGGCGATGAAATTGAGGTCTTGTTTTGGTTTTGTAATTCCTGTTGCGAATTTGAGGCCTAAGCTGAGAGCTTCAGTTTCTGCGGTTGACAGTGGATGAGATGAAAGATTTTGAATAATTTCAGGTCTTCCTAAACTTTTCCAATGACTATTATCGCAGAGAGTTTGTAGTTTCCTAATAAGTCACCACCGCTGATAAAGGAGGTGGTGTAATCATCATAAACACTGACGATTACAGGAACAAAATGCTCAATCTACTTAATGACCCAGATACTTACAAACCTCTCACAACTAACCAAGTGGACAACCTTACTAAAACTTTTCTTCAAAGGACTCGCCGCATTCTGAGGGACTCAGAACAAGGGAAGAAACTTCTGCACACAATACCCAGCAACCCCAGACCTGCCAGAATGTACAGCCTGCCAAAAAACTCACAAGCCTGGTATCCACTGAGATCCATATCCTCGGGAATAGGGAGTGCTCCCCACCAACTCTCAGGAATTCTCACAAAACACCTCTCTAAACTCTTGGGCACTATTAGTCCAGCACATCTCAAACACTCGGGTGATCTTCTCAATTGCATTCGCAACATCAACATCAGGAACAAGAAACTTTCCAGCCTTGACGTAACCTCCTATTCACCAAAGTACCTACTACACAAGCCATCGATCTCTTGCACAGGAAAATTGACGATTCACTTGATCTTCCGATTCCAACCAGTGATTTCATCGACCTTGTTGAACTACGTGTTGGCTTTACGTGTTTCTCTTTCGAAAAATCACCTCTTTCAGCAGGACTTTTGGACTACCCATGGGTTCGCCACTCAGTGAGGTCCTGGCGAACCTATACATGGAACATTCTAGAAGCCGAGCGTTTCTCCACCATTATTCCTTCGTCTGTCACCTGGCTCCGTTATGTTGACGATATTCTCCTCTAACTCCTAGACGCTTCAACGTACAAGCACAACCAGGTCGAGCCCAATCCAGTTCACACTTGAAGAAGAAATCGACAACACTCTTCCTTTCCTTGATGTTCTTCTCTGCAAAACTAACCATGAACTTCGTTTTAAAGTCTATCGAAAACCCACCAACCAAAACGATCTTTCTCCACTTCTATCTCACCATGACACCAAAAACTAAACATTGTGTAATTATAGGCTTCTTCCTGCATGTACTCAGAATCTGCAGCAATGAGTTTCTTGAGGAAGAATGCACTATAATTGAACAAGTATTTTCTAAACTCCACTATCCTCGTCACTTCAACAGAAACTGCAGACGATGAGCATTAAACATCTTCAACACACCCAGAGAAGACACTGCCGAGAAGAGATACATAGTCCTCCCCACCAACTCCATTGCCAAACACGTTTCCAACATCTTTTCCAAGTATCTACCTCCACAACCACGACCATCAAGGACATCACCAGTAGTAGACAGGACAAGCTTCCATCCTCTGCAGGGGTATACATAATCCCTTGTAATGACTGCAGCAAATTATACGTGGGCAAAACATCAAGGGACCTCCAAACATATTTCAGAACACCAATACGCAAGCAGGTCTGACGATACAAGGAATGCCTGTGTACAACACTGTAATTCACACAACCATTTAATAAACTACAGAAACTCAAGACTTATCGCCACAGAAGACAACACTCATTACCGAAGAATCCTGGAATCATCACTTATCTCTATATCCGACAACTTCAACCAGAATAATGGCTTCTATAACATAGCTGAACCTCTTGCCAAGAAACTTCATCGCTATCCCACATAAGAGTATAGAATGGAAGAACACTACAGAAGGTCTGCTCACAAACTTATCCAATCTCCCTTCCAAGCTACCCAAGATTTTAGACTCTATAACCCCACTCGGTACATCATCAGATGCAGTATTCTCCACCTGACCTCAACATTCTGAACCTGACTATAAATACTCGCGTACCTTCCACCCCAGGTAGATCTGTTTGTGACTTGAAAAAGCCCACTGTGTGGGCAAAACATTGTCAATAAAGGATCACATTATACTACATGTGTGTTTATATTTCCATTATGTTGGTATTTTATACCATTTATTTCCAGCTTACCTCATTATTATATCTCCACCTGCTTTTAACATCTCTTTCTTAAACCCATCTATACCAGCTGCTTTACGTCGTTTCATTCTAACTACTGTCTAATGTACCTCCCCTGCCCACTCATTTTCACATGTGTTGGGAAGATGTGTGGAGCAGTTGGGTGGGCAAGAGGACAGATGGGTGGGCCATAAGGACAGGTTGGCGTTGGAGCATGTGGGGCAGGTTGGGTGGGTATGTGGACAGGTTGGATGGGGATGTGGACAGGTTGGATGGGCATATGGACAGGTTGGATGGGCATATGGACAGGTTGGATAGGCATATGGACAGGTTGGATGGGCATGTGGACAGGTTGGATGGGCATGAGGACAGATTGGGTGGGTAGGCAATTAGTTTGAGTGGGTAGGAAGGTGCACAGGCTAAATGGGGAAAGCAGATGAGTTAGGCAGGTAGAGAAAAGGCAGGTTGGTCAAGAGTCACACTGTACCCCCTTCACAAATTACATATCACTGTACACATAGAAACAATGCCATACACAAATAACTCGCATATAGGAGACAGACTTATGATTGTGTTTCAGTCTGAGTTAGACCATTACTATTCCTTGAGCAATGCCAGGTGAAACGACAAATACTATAGTATATACCTCACTGAATAACAGAAGAGAAAAAAGCATAAAGAATAAACGAGTGAAAAAAGCAGGCAGGGCAGAAAAATAAAAATGAATAGCAAGATACACAGTGATTAATGAACTGATTTTTATTCAATAACACCACATAAAACATTTTGAATGACTGAAAACTGATGATTACCTACAAAACATGGGAAAACTGAGAGATTTCTGGTATTGTAGTTCCTTACCTAGACTGCAAGTGCTTCAACGTTCATTGAAATGGCTCCTACAGGAATGATCTAGTCAAAGTATCTCACACCTTTTAAAGGACACTCATATAAGCTCCTCTGTGTTTAATTAAAGGTGGAAGAAAGATTGACTTAACTGAATAAGACTTACATAAAGATAAATATATATATATTATATATATATATATTATATTATATATATAATTTTTTTTTTTTTCAACAAGTCGGCCGTCTCCCACCAGGAGGGGACCCAAAAAAAGAAATTTTTTTCATCATTAACATTTCACCACACTCACACTTTTCCATGTTT